CCACAGTTATAATATGCAATCAGGACCCAGAAAGATAAGAATTTTCTTATGAGTCGAGATGATTGATATCAATTCAAATGTACTAAACTGGTGATAGAGCCAGAGAATGACATGTACAGCACAACTGTTGTATCTTAATTGAAAATCAATCTGACTATATTGCATGTTCGCTTAAAGATTATATATATTCGTCTTTCGTTAATTCTGTCGCAACAGTGGGGAAAAATTAATTATTATTGGTCAAATTTTGTGTAAATGTGGTTCCCCTAAACACCCGTGAGATCAACTCGTTTTAAAAAATCGAATTAAAAAAATCATTCCCATTTTTAAAATGTATATATTTTTGGAAAGCAGTTCTGTTTGTTTCGTGAGTTTGGCTTTGGTTCATGGTTTTCAAGGATATCAATTATGCTGTTCTCTGAGGGTTGAAAATGTTTCAAATAAATCTAGTCTTATCACGATTTTCAGTCATTTATCAACCGAGGCTTAATTTAGTAAGAAGAAAAATATATTCAGAAAAACAACACCGAATTCTATCGCAACCTTTTTTTTTCCTTCTTGGACAAACTAAAATTTTTTTCTTACAAAGAACATTATTCGTTTAACAAAATTCTTTTTTTGTCAGAATTTAAAGCTTGGCATTTCAGTAAAGAAATAAAAATTGGATTTTCACCTGGCGTGCTTTTGAAATTACGATTTTTTTTTCTAATTATGAAGATTTGCCAAAATTCGTAATAACACAGTATACAGACGGTAACAAAACGATCCCAAACGAATAACATGGATTTTCCTCTTTTTAGAATCTTTAATACCAAGATACGATGAAAATATTGCTTTCGTTTTATTGATCCAATATTGAAATTGTTTCATTTTGGGTCATTAGATAGATGCTGGGAATAATTTGTACAATTTTTCCTTGGGAATTGAACATCAAAACCTGAAAGCAACGCATACTCACAGGTTATTAAATTTTGATTTCACAGCTCACAGAATTTTTTTTGTGTGTTACTCGTTTAACAGGGGATTAGTTACCAGCGAGTGCGGGCGTAAACGTAAACATACCGGTAAATGTAGTACTAACCTGGGGTTGTAACGACTTGCTTGTTCCATGTTTCCTACGCGACCCCTACTTCCTGGACTGAAATGAAACCAATGAGAGAATCATCGTAAAAACGTTTCACTCGATCGCTGCTTTAGATTAGCTTCTCCCCGTAGAGGTCCAATTGAATGTGCCGGTTATAATGAACTCAATTGGATATACAAGTATTATTTAGATGTGGTATGAGGCAAGAGCTTTCTCGTTTTTCTCTCTTGTTGGGATGAAATGAAACCAATAGGCTATTGAATAGTTAGCGTTGTAAAACGCTTCACTCGCTGATTTAGATTGACTTCCCCATAGAGTGGACTGACTATTTGGCTGTGCCGGTCAATGAACATAATTGCATATACAAGTGTTGTGAGATGCAGTATTAGACGAGAACTTTCTCGCTTGAATTTATCGCTAACTATCCCGATACGAACACTTAGCCTCAAAGCTTGCTTGCGATAAAAAAAAACAACGGATAACTTTTATGTTTTTATCCAGAATTACCTCTAATTCTCTAAGTCCTCAGTAAAAGTCGAAAGCTACTAAGATGACAGCAACTGAAAGTTAGAGGAACGAATCCTCCTATGTAGGATAACGAAGAGAGAATTATTCCTCTTTGGGTTTTTTTCCTCTTTCAATATGTGGCTACCAGATACCACGAAGTGTGACGCCGAGCGAAGAGCGAGGAGTTCTCTATCACTGTTTCATAATTATCAAGCCGTGGACTATTTGTCTTCGATGACAAGACATCAAGGGACTTAAAACGACTAAATTATAATTTCACATATGGATTGAAAATTGCTTCCGACATGATGTACTCGTAAGAGGCATGTGTAGAGCAGGCCTTTCGCGTCGCCGGAGAGGAATGAATACAGTTGACCATCTGCACACTTCTGCAACCACAGTTCTAGACTGTGCTGTCAGTAATAGAATACTATAAAAAAAACCTTCTCGAAAGACACCAGACTAGATTTCAATGAAAGAATAAATAAACTGATTCACTTACATTTGAATACAATGATCTGATGATTTGCCGGTCTTTTATCTTCGCAAACGGGAAAAGATGTTAATCTTAATTTCGGTTTTCTCGAGACTTAATGTTAAATTGAATGGTAAGTAATCGTACTAGGACAATGAGGCTTCTTAGTGTTGTTTTTACTATTTTATATCAGAATAATTCGGGGTTTTTTCTCACTATTAATTATGCGTAACTGCATGCATTCTACACGTTAAGTTTCTCTTCTCTGTTTCGTTTTTTGCAAAAGTAAAAAAATAAAAACAAACAATCGATGAATAAATTAGAAATTTCGTAGTTGTTTAAGTGAATTTGACAGCTTTMAAAAGGAGATACGAATAGATGACCAAAATCTGAAGATGTCTCACAAATGGGATACTAAGTGATACAACAAACCTTTCCCGAATTCGCTTGCGTTGGCCACAAAACAATAAATCCAACTCGAGGTTTGACTTGATGTATTCATATATTTACTGTATTTATTAAGTCCARCCTGGACCTGGAACCATGCTTTTGTGGCCACTTATCAAGCGAATTCGCGGGAAAGGTCTGTTGTTCATATTCTCATACTCACATTATCCGTAAAAACGCAAAACTATCATTAATTAAAAAAATCAATTTTAGAGATGAATTTCAAGAGCTTTTGCTCTTCAATGTTCAAAGAAAACCTCAAGAATAAGAAAACATACGCGTGCGCTGTTTCCTAAGAACACATGATAGAGTTATACTTACCACTCGAATGCGCAACAAAARCAACAGAAACAGCAGCGATCTCTTCGCCTTGTGAACAAGGGTGAGTGATCTCCACACCGCTCTAACGGGTTATTCTCTTTGCCATTGATGTAGATCTCTAGAATGTTGATTCTCGTATCCTGTCAAAACCCGTTAGAACATCAGTTATTTGATAATGTTTTTCACCAATAATGATATCTTCATGGGTGTTGACTTGCCGCGCGCAGTGCTGCAGGCAATCGAGGTTGCGAGCCATGTCACACAACACAATTYGTTGCAGCGGGYAATGTTGCTAAAGCACAAAACGATGTTACTTCAGCGACATTGACTGTAGCTAACATTGCGCGCAATGTTGCAACGTGTGTCGGCGCCTTAATTATAAAGCCATAATAGCAATATATGTTTGAAAGCGACTAAGAG